GCTGGTTTTATTTTCCTAATAGCACCACACACCTTAGTTGAATAGGAATAAAAGAAACGTAGTTTTATTAATGAATATGAATCTACTTTTCATTTCAGTTGTCATAATACCTACTAAATATATTTCTTTTTATCCTATCATCACAGAATTGTGTTTTCGGTAGCGACACGGTATGTGTGTATGCGAGGGAGACAGACAGACAGAGACAGAGACAGACTGACAGACAGACAAAAACACATTTATAGTCAGATAATAATCCTATTGGAACGGCGCTTGGGGGGTCAGCCACCTCCCCCTCCCTTCCGCTGCTCCGCCTTACAGCTGAACACAATTTGTTCACGTGACTGTCCTGCTGCCTTTAAACCCACAAGGCCGGAGACATGCACTGGTCAGTGTTGTTTCGTTTCTTCGGGCTTGTTTAGGTGGCACTGCAAGCGTTTAAATTCCAGGAAGCCAGTGACTAGGCCTCTTTGACCTCTCGGGTTTACTTCGTTTGGCGCGCAAAAGGCCTAAATACTATTAGTTTATTACTCTCTTAAAAAGATGTAATAATGTATTTAGTTTTTATCCCTCTTAATGTTAGTATTAATGCATTTTAGCTGTCTGAATTTAATGAAAACCGAAAAAAATTGGAAAAACGAAACATAAGTGTAAGGATTTCAGATATGGAATTATATACCAGTATTTGTATATATGCATATCTATCTATCTCTCTATATGTCCATCTTTCTATCTATATGTATATGTGTATATATATAGATAGATATAGATGTTTGTGTATATATAGAGAGATAATGTGTGTGTATATGTATATATAGCTATAGGTAGATAGATATGTATGTGAATATTTAGGTAGATAGTGCGTATATATATGTATATATATAGGTATAGATATAGATAGAAAGATATGGATTTGTATATAGAGAGAAACAAACAGATATTTATGTATACACACACAAACACACACACGCGCATACACACATATATATGTATATATATATATATATATATATATATATATATATATATATATGTATATGTATATATATATATATGTATGTATGTGTATATATATTATATATATATATTATATATATATATATATTATATATATATAATATATATGTGTGTGTGTGTGTGTGTGTGTGTGTGTGTGTGTGTGTGTGTGTGTGTGTGTGTGTGTGTTATATACATTATATATATATATATATATATATATATATATATATATATATATATATATATATATATATATATATATATATATATATAGGTAGGTAGGTATATATACACATATACATATATACACATCTATCTGTCTATCTATCTATTTATTTATCTTTCTAACTATATATATATATATATATATATATATATATATATATATATGTGTGTGTGTGTGTGTGTGTGTGTGTGTGTGTGTGTGTGTGTGTGTGTGTGTGTGTGTGTGTGTGTGTGTGTGTGTGTGTGTGTGTGTGTGTGTGTGTGTGTGTGTGTGTGTGTGTGTGTGTGTGTGTGTGTGTGTGTGTGTGTGTGTGTGTGTGTGTGTGTGTGTGTGTGTGTGTGTACATTTGCAATCTGCAATCACCTTAAAATAGATTACCCTTAAACAATTTTCTTTGATTATTTTTAAGCGGGTAAACTAGGGTAAATTCTTGTATCACGAAAACAAATAATGTCGCTCATAAAAAATGTCTTTGTTTGTTCTAGTTTGTGGTAAAGTAAACATGGGAATCACATATGGAAATAAGGTCTTTTTTTTACACCATTTTTTTGAAATTAAGAATTACAGCTCCGGAAAACAGAAGTTTATTATCCGGAGAGCAGATGAATCTCCGAAGAATTATGCAACAGACTACGGGATAAAAACGCAGGTTTCGCATCCTTCTGAAATCCATTGCCACCATACTTGACATTGGCAAGGATAGTTTTTTTTCACATTGACTTTTGCTACCATCCTGCGTTGTGATTGGCTAAAAGATGTGTTTTTTTAAGAGGGTAAAATCGGGTAAATTCTATACTGAAAACATTATTTAAGCAGGTTCCGCGTCCTACGAAAATGGGCTATTATCAATACCCGTAGCTTTTTCCTTCATATTTTCCTTGAATATCATCCTGCGTTGTGGTTGGCCATCGTCCGATACCTTTTTACTTGCTTTAATGAGAAGGCAAAGGATAAATGTTTTTCACATGATACTTTTGCCTAAAAGAAATGTGAGGTTCTACATTTGCTATATCGTATAGTTAAGGAAACAAGAAATTTGTATGCATTATTCCTATGCATTAATTCGCTCTTATTTCACTATTTTCCGTATTTTTTCTGTATAACCTTGTTTAAGCACTGCGGAAAAATACCCGAAGATTCCGCAGCCAAGTCTGGATTCTCAAGCTGTCTCACATCATGCTTTTAGGGAAGCACATTCCAGTAACAACTTTGAGTAAAAAAAATAAATAACAGAACATTCTTGACGTATTACAAAAATCTAAAAGGTAGTCATAGCATACCAGAAAGGCTCCAGGTTTAATCAGATTTATGAAAAATACATTTATAGGAATATAAACCTTTCTCAACTAATCTACAAGAAATTGAAATAATGCCTTGCCTTACTGAACGCTTTTAGATTTCGATTAAAAAGGTCATTTTGATGCCGAATAAAATGTAGTAAAATAGATGAATAAATGGTCACGCATAGTCTCTCCCGAATAACTTCAGAACTACGCGAAAACTAAAGGGAAAGCTTAAAAGAACGACTAACTTTCCGGATACCTCTGGATTCCAGAAACGGCATATCCCCCACAACAACACGCACAGTCGGTAATACACGTGTGGGTCTGTAGGAGGGCAATAAGCGTATGACTGAGAAAGGTATGTTATTTAGAGTATTGAAATTAATGAAGATGATGTTTGATGAAATTAATGAAGATGATATTTGAGAATAAACGATAATGTCTGACAATGCTTTGCTTTCCTGATTAATGGTATTTTGTTATCAGTTAAGAAATGCATTGAGAATGTTAAGTAGTATGCCTACAGGATAAAGGTATTTAAACTAAAATTCTGCACAGAATGCAAATGAATCATCATAAGATTTATGGATGGACTGTGAAAGCATATGAGAGAACTCCACTTCAAATGCTGCTGCACAATATGTAAATTTACGATGTATTTGACCTGTCACTTGTCTCACAAAGGCCCATAGCTCTACACACTACCACCAGAAACCAACATCTAGAACAACCTACAAGTACCAGATTTCATTAATTTTCTATATTACGTCCGCATAACCGATATCAACGATTTTGGTATTGTTGGATTCCTCTCACTCTCCACATTGCAAATATATAGTTTTTATCGTGCAGAAACCCCACCGTTAGCGACAAACTTGGCCCCGATAGCAGGGGAGGGCATGAAAGGTTCCAGGGAAAATGCAGGTTAAATAGCACTAATAATATAATGCACAATGAAAATAACCATGGTTATTCACATAACTTTCCATTGCAGGGGGCTGCTGACCCCCAAACCCTGCCGAAGAAACAAAGCCTCCACCACATATTCCTGGCAGGCTAGAGCGTTACACAATCATCGACGATGTCGGAGCAGCGGGCGTAATATTACAATTACCTCGTAAGATTCCCACTGAATCAGCATATTAACCTTGGCATAGTCAGCATTGTATATAGAGACGATTGTAGTATTATCAGGATGAACAGGGTGGCCCGCCCTCGTTGGCGGGTTTTGCGCCTCTTTCGATGTTACACCGATGGCCTAAAGGTTGAGTTTCCCGTCCTCTGGAATAACGACATCCGTATTCGCGTTAAAAAGTCAGTCATAGCCGCTGCGATGGCCAAGTGTGGAGGGTGCTCATATTCGGAGACGGATTTTCTGCGCGAAATTGCAGACGCACCCTGCTTCCTTCACATTCTGCGGCAAAGGAGCACCCTCCTTACTAAATAGCGGCATAAATCAATTAGGTTAGTACCTTAAAAACCCTAGGTTATTGAAGGTTGTCGGATTGTATAGAGTGAGAGGAATCCAACGATACCAAAATCGTCGATATCGGTTATGCGGACGTATATAGAAAATTACTCAGATTTCCAGGAAAATGGGTGATTTTCAGAATAGTTGCATATCAACAATTAATATGGATGTATTCCCCTTGCCTTCTACAATTCATACATGTAGGAATTGCAGTGTGAAAATTCCCATGTACCACACAAACTTGGCCTCAATGATAAGGAAGGGCATAAGGGATCTAAGGGAAATTGTAGGGTATAATATGAAGGAAAACATGCTCTTTGCTGTGATACACCCAGGAGGTTTATTACCTAATAAGAAACCAGTCCAAGCTTTATCTTTCTAGGATATATATGCAGATTGTTTGTTGACTTTTATGCCGCTATACCAGTAGGCGCTGAGATAACCACATTTGGTGTGCACAGGGCTATTGACGTGGACAAGCAGAACGTAACAAAATCATATATAGTTTTATTTTCCAGAATTTAAAATTGAATGCATTTTATGCTTTTCATCACTCCTTCCAACCCAAAATATTGATGTACCACAGAAAATTAACACAAGATTTGTTATGACCTAGTCAACCTATCTCCAGAAATCTAAATCTTGTGCATGTGTAGGATATGTTGTAATAGACCAAAAACCAAAAAACTTACCAAAGACTCTTGATGAATAGATACAGGGAAGTGAAAGATATTTATGATAGGGGCAATTATACACAATGAATGAAGAATTACTGGCCTGGACTTTAATCTATTTGCTGGTTGTTGGTAAACTTATCCATTCCACAGCTAAGTTATTTAACATGATCTAGGGTAATTTTGCCTGAGAGAGCAATGCCTTCCTCCGCCCTTCTACCCTCAGCCTTGTTGAGGTCAGGTACTCCTTCAGCTACATTCATGGAAGTATCTCCACTCCTTCCAACTTATATTTTAGCATGCTTTCTTCAAACCATATACATGAAAAATAAAAGCTTTCAGGAACTTCCTCTCAGTGACAGATAATGAAAGAATTGTGCAAGATGCCGCCTTAATGATACAACTTGAGTTTTGAGTTGTAATCTGTTAGATTTTAAAATTTTGCAGGTAATTTGATCATCCTAGCCTGTTTCCTTTTTAGAATATCATTAAAGTATGGTAAAAAAAAATTTTGCAACCTTCAAATTTTACATTGACAGTGATGTAATGCCATAGTTCTATGGTTCATGTTTTTGATACTTTTAGAAATATATTGATTTGACTGTGAAGAGGAGTGGAAGTCAGTGGCACCATTGGCACCAAGTTATTGTCTGTTATTAGTATCCAGGCATCTTATCTTGCATGCCAAATGTGTTTGATATCCTATCTGTGGAATCCTGTAGCATAGTAACAGAATCCTCTTTTCCTTCTTTCCAGTAACCCTAGAATTCCTCTATTAGTAAATTTGTAAGAAT